TTTAGTGTTGGTAGTGTTGATGAATAAATTTCGTTAAAACGGTCAAACACAAGCCTCGGTCATCCTGACCGGAATGTTTTAAAGTTATTGCTGACAACAGCTTCAACATTTACCACAGATACCCTTCAATCAGGTGAGCTAAATCCGAAGCATATTCTGTTGAAAAAGAATTGATTCATAAAAAACACTATTCTGTTTTTTTGCTTACGTTTGATATATTACACCTAAAAATGTCCACTTGTTAATTACTTTAGCAGCAACCCAAGGCATTGAATGTCCCCTTCGTTCAAATCATTTAGTGGAATACTAGCTGCAGGAAGGCCTATTGATGCATGGTTTAGCGATGGCCCTGCCGTGGGCGTAGATCATAGCATCAGAGTACGCGAGCTGTGGCGGGAGAACATGTTACGACACCCCCGTATCGTTTCCAAACTAATCAACGGATCATATAACGCCTGATACCTTCTGGCCGATTACATCACAAAGCCTACATGCTTATAGGGATGGTGCCATCTCCCTGGTGACAACCGGAGAGGTCAAGCACCGGCCATCATGGCCCTCGGGGAAGTCAGGCGCAGGAAAGGTGGCCAGTACCTCACGGCTGTACGAGACGACTTTTGGTTACAGTGTGTTATGTGTTTGACTGTGTACCGTTGTTCCTAACGCCGTCGGTCGTTGCTCATTGTATCAAACACTGGCCACATTCTTCTCAGACTTGCAGTTTTTGTTAATAAGACATTTGAAAGAAAGATGATACATTGAATATTAATAAAACTCAAATGTTTACATCTGTTCAGGTACAAAATACAAATGGGGCTCCACGAAGAATTTTCCTACAACAAAATGTCATTGTTATATTGTCCTCATGGCCACATATAGGAAATAAATATGTCTGACTGCTAAGAGACTGTGTGATGCGTGTTTTCCGCGGAAACCTCCTTGAAGTTCCCCGAGTTTAGAAGTGTGTTCCCCTCGGAGGAAATCTCCTTGAAGTTCCCCGAGTTTAGAAGTGCGTTCCCCTCGGAGGAAATCTCCTTGAAGTTCCCCGAGTTTAGAAGTGTGTTCCCCTCGGAGGAAATCTCCTTGAAGTTCCCCAAGTTTAGAAGTGTGTTCCCCTCGGAGGAAATCTCCTTGAAGTTGCCCGAGCTTAGAATAATGTGAAGCGTGTTCTCCTCGGCGGAAACCTCCATGAAGGTCTCCGAGCTAAGAGATTGTGTGAAGTGTGTTCTCCTCGGTGGAAACCTCCTTGAAGTTCCCCGAGCTTAGAATAGTGTGAAGCGTGTTCTCCTCGGCGGAAACCTCCTTGAAGTTCCCCGAGCTTAGAATAGTGTGAAGCGTGTTCTCCTCGGCGGAAACCTCCTTGAAGGTCACCGAGTTTAGAATTGAGTGAAGTGTGTTCTCGGCGGGAACCTCCTCGAGGGTCCCCGAGTTTAGAATTGTGTGAAGTGTGTTCTCCTCGGTGGAAACCTCCGACCTAAGAGCCTGTGTGGAGCGTGTTCTCCTCGGTGGAAACCTCATTGAAGGTCCCCGAGCTTAGAATTGTGTAAAGCGTGTTCTCAGCGGAAACGTCCTTGAAGGTCCCAGAGCTAAGAGACTGTGTGAAGCGTGTTCTCCTCGGTGGAAACCTCCTTGAAGGTCCCCGAGCTAAGAGACTGTGTGAAGCGTGTTCTCAGCGGAAACCTCCTTGAAGTTCCCCGAGCTAAGAGACCTTGTGAAGCGTGTTCTCAGCGGAAACCTCCTTGAAGGTCCCCGAGCTAAGAGACTGAGTGAAGTGTGTTCTCCTCGGTGGAAACCTCCTTGAAGTTCCCCGAGTTTAGAGACTGTGTGAAGCGTGTTCTCCTTGGTGGAAACCTCCTTGAAGGTCCCCGAGCTAAGAGACTGTGTGAAGCGTGTTCTCCTCGGTGGAAACCTCCTTGAAGTTCTCCGAGTTTAGGATTGTGTGAAGTGTGTTCTCCTCGGCGGAAACCTCCTTCAAGGTCCCCGAGTTAAGCGACTATGTGAAGCCTGTTCTCGGCGGAAACCTCACTTAAGGTCCCCGAGTGTAGAATTGAGTGAAGTGTGTTCTCCTCGACGGATACCTCCTTGAAGTTCCCAGAGCTAAGAGATTTTGTGAAGTGTGTTCTCCTTGGTGGAAACCTCCTTGAAGGTCCCCGAGCTAAGAGACTGTGTGAAGCGTGTTCTCCTCGGTGGAAACCTCCTTGAAGTTCCCCGAGTTTAGAGACTGTGTGAAGTGTGTTCTCAGCGGAAACCTCCTTGAAGGTCCCCGAGCTAAGAGACTGTGTGAAGCGTGTTCTCCTCGGTGGAAACCTCCTTGAAGTTCTCCGAGTTTAGGATTGTGTGAAGTGTTTTCTCCTCGGCGGAAACCTCCTTCAAGGTCCCCGAGTTAAGCGACTATGTGAAGCGTGTTCTCGGCGGAAACCTCACTTAAGGTCCCCGAGTGTAGAATTGAGTGAAGTGTGTTTTCCTCGACGGATACCTCCTTGAAGTTCCCAGAGCTAAGAGATTGTGTGAAGAGTGTTCTCCTTGGTGGAAACCTCCTTGAAGGTCCCCGAGCTAAGAGATTGTGAGAAACGTGTTCTCCTTTGTGGAAACCTCCTTGAAGTTCCCAGAGCTAAGAGATTGTGTGAAGTGTGTTCTCGGCTGAAACCTCCTTGAAGGCCACCGAGTTTAGAATTGAGTGAAGTGTGTTCTCGGCGGAAACCTCCTCGAGGGTCCCCGAGTTTAGAATTGTGTGAAGTGTGTTCTCCTCGGTGGAAACCTCCGACCTAAGAGCCTGTGTGGAGCGTGTTCTCCTCGGCGGAAACCTCCTCAAACTTCCCCAGTTTAGAGTTGAGTGAAGTGTGTTCTCCTCGACGGATACCTCCTTGAAGGTCCCCGAGCTAAGAGATTGTGTGAAGTGTGTTCTCCTTGGTGGAAACCTCCTTGAAGGTCCCCGAGCTAAGAGATTGTGTGAAGTGTGTTCTCGGCGGAAACCTCCTTGAGGGTCCCCGAGTTTAGAATTGTGTGAAGTGTGTTCTCCTCGGTGGAAACCTCCGAGCTAAGAGCCTGTGTGAGCGTGTTCTCCTCGGCGGAAACCTCCTCAAACTTCCCCAGTTTAGAATTGTGTGAAGTGTGTTCTCGGTGGAAACCACCTTGAAGTTCCCCGAGCTTAGAATTGTGTGAAGCGTGTTCCCCTCGCTGAAAATTAACGGAAGTACTTCATATTTCAAATATGACATTCTTCAGAATAGGTAATTTCATTAAGTAATCACCAGGGACACACGATCCTCCGTGGCTGTCATCCCTGTGCAGTCTCCCGGAAGAGTCAGAGTGCAACAGTGAACGTGTTAAAGTATTCAGTTATACGCAGGAACTAAGGACAGCCCCAGTTTACTGTCAGTGGAGTAAAGCATAGATACAATAAAAATAAATACCACGGTTATCAAACCGTTATGAATGGAGCTAACTATTCGCTATTTTTCCTATAACCTTTAAAAGCGGCACGACCAAGACCGGGCCCAGATTACTGAGTGAATGCAATTATCGGTTTCTTGTTACTTGGCTTAATGCCACTATACTTTCCACTGTTGCCGGGAGACATCCGCATATTGCCTGTCCCAACTGCTCACGCAAGAATACATATTTCGCTGACAATCTAGGTCACAATGTAGGCATCTAGAAATGATAATTACAGTGAAACAAAGAGGTGTGACACGGGAGGATGTTTAGCTTGGTCTTGGTCTGTCACACCGTTATGCTGCCAACTGCCTTTTAAGCATTAATAGCGTTGATGTTGATTCATCGACGTCTCAGCTCATTCATAGACTGTTTGATGCTGTATAGGGTTTCTGAGATGGAAATATTAAATGGGGTTGACTGATTCTCTCCATCAGATCGACTCATGTGACCCTTCCTTTTGGATTATGAAGCAACATCTCACTTTCATCTGGTACGCCTTTTCAAGACGCAAACGATTTAAAATGTGTAACACAGACCTCGTACACCCCTGTAGACACCACAGTCGTATGTCGAATGCAGATATCGTACAACCCTGTAGACAAAACAGTCGTATGTCAAATGCAGATATCGTACACCCCTGTAGACACCACAGTCGTATGTCAGATACAGTCCTGGAGAAACCAAAGTCGTATGTCAGATACAGATCTCGTACAGCCATGGAGACACCTCAGTCGTATGTCAGATGCAGTCCTGGAGATACCACCACCGTATTTCAGATACAGCCATGGAGACACCAAAGTCGTATGTCGGATAGAGACCTCGTACAGCCATGTAGACACCACAGTCGTATGTCAGATAGAGACCTCGTACAGCCATGTAGACACCGCAGTCGTATGTCAGATGCAGATCTCGTACAGCCATGTAGACACCACAGTCGTAAGTCAGATGCAGATCTCGTACAGCCATGTAGACACCACAGTCGTAAGTCAGATGCAGATCTCGTAGAGCCATGTAGACATCGCAGTCGTATGTCAGATACAGTCCTGTAGACACCAAAGTCGTGTGTCGGATACAGATCTCGTACAGCCATGTATACACCACAGTCGTATGTCAGATAGAGATCTCGTACAGCCATGTAGACACCGCAGTCGTAAGTCAGATGCAGATCTCGTACAGCCATGTAGACACCACAGTCGTAAGTCAGATGCAGATCTCGTACAGCCATGTAGACACCACAATCGTAAGTCAGATGCAGATCTCGTAGAGCCATGTAGACACCGCAGTCGTATGTCAGATACAGTCCTGTAGACACCAAAGTCGTGTGTCGGATACAGATCTCGTACAGCTATGTATACACAACAGTCGTAAGTGAGATACAGATCTCGTACAGCCATGGAGACACCAAAGACGTATGTCAGATACAGCCATGGAGACACCACAGTCGTATGTCAGATACAGCCATGGAGACACCACAGTCGTATGTCAGATACAGCCATGGAGACACCACAGTCGTATGTCAGATACAGCCATGGAGACACCACAGTCGTATGTCAGATACAGCCATGGAGCCACCACAGTCGTATGTCAGATACAGCCATGGAGACACCAAAGACGTATGTCAGATACAGATCTCGTACAGCCATGGAGACACCACAGTCGTATGTCAGATGCAGATCTCGTACAGCCATGGAGACACCACAGTCGTAAGTCAGATACAGCCATGGAGACACCACAGTCGTATGTCAGATGCAGATCTCGTACAGCCATGGAGACACCGCAGTCGTAAGTCAGATACAGCCATGTAGACACCAAAGTCGTAAGTCAGATACAGCCATGTAGACACCACAGTCGTAAGTCAGATACAGCCATGGAGACACCGCAGTCGTAAGTCAGATACAGCCATGTAGACACCAAAGTCGTAAGTCAGATACAGCCATGGAGACACCACAGTCGTACGTCAGATACAGCCATGGAGACACCGCAGTCGTAAGTCAGATACAGCCATGTAGACACCACAGTCGTATGTCAGATACAAGCCATGGAGACACCACAGTCGTATGTCAGATACAGCCATGGAGACACCACAGTCGTATGTCAGATGCAGATCTCGTACAGCCATGGAGACACCACAGTCGTATGTCAGATACAGCCATGTAGACACCACAGTCGTATGTCAGATGCAGATCTCGTACAGCCATGGAGACACCACAGTCGTATGTCAGATACAGCCATATAGACACCACAGTCGTAAGTCAGATACAGATCTCGTACAGCCATGGAGACACCACAGTCGTAAGTCAGATACAGATCTCGTACAGCCATGGAGACACCACAGTCGTATGTCAGACGCAGATCTCATACAGCCATGTATACACCAAAGTCGTATGTCAGATACAGATCTCGTACAGCCATGTATACACCACAGTCGTATGTCAGATACAGATCTCATACAGCCATGTAGACACCACAGTCGTATGTCAGGTACACATCTCGTACAGCCATGGAGACACCAAAGTCGTATGTCAGATACAGTCCTGGAGACACCAAAGTCGTGTGTCGGATACAGATCTCGTACAGCCATGTATACACCACAGTCGTAAGTGAGATACAGATCTCGTACAGCCATGGAGACACCAAAGTCGTATGTCAGATAAACATCTCGTACAGCCATGGAGACACCAAAGTCGTAAGTCAGATACAGATCTCGATGTTGTGTTACATTGTTCCAACTTGTATTACATCATGTCGATGTGGTGTTACACTGTTCCAACATGTATTACAGCATGACGATCCAACTGTCCGCCACATAGTCCACCTGTCCACCTCGCAGTCGCCCCACACCGTCCAACCGTCCCCCGAAAAAGCCCAATTGTCCCCACACAGTCGACCCAAACTGTTCAACTGTCCCCCACACAGTCCAACTGTCCCCCACACTGTCGCCAAAAACAGTCCATCTGTCCCCTTCACAGTCCAGCTTTTTCCCACACAGTCCAACTGTCGCCCCACACTGTCGCCCAGCACAGTCCATCTGTCCCCCTCACAGTCCATCTGTCCCCCTCACAGTCCAACTGTCTCCCACACAGTCCAACTGTCCCCACACAGTCCATCTGTCCCCCTCACAGTCCAACTGTCCTCACACTGTCCAGCTGTCCCCACACTGTCCAGCTGTCTCCCACTCAGTCGCCCCACACAGTCCAACTGTCCCCACACAGTCGCCCCACAGTGTCCAACTGTCCCCTTCACTCTCATACTGTCCCTACACTGTCCAACTGTCCCCCACACAGTCCAACTGTCCCCCACACAGTCCATCTGTCCCCACACTGTCCAACTGACACCAACACAGTCCAAATTTCCCCACACTGTCCAACTGTCCCCACACAGTCCAGCTATCCCCGCACTGTCCAACTGTCTCCCACACTGTCGCCCCACACAGTCAAACTGTCTCCCACACTGTCGCCCCACACAGTCTCACTGTCTCCCAAACAGTCGCCCACACTGTCCAACTGTCCCCACACCGTCCAACTGTCACCACACTGTCCAACTGTCCCCCACACACTCCAACAGTCTCCCACACTGTCGCCCAACACAGTCCAACTGTCACCTACACTGTCGTCCCACACAGTCCAACTGTCACCACACAGTCCAACTGTCACCACACAGTCAAACTGTCCCCACACTGTCGCCCCACACAGTCAAACTGTCACCACACAGTCCAACTGTCACCACACAGTCCAACTGTCCCCACACTGTCCAACTGTCACCACACAGTCCAACTGTCACCACACAGTCCAACTGTCTCCCACACTGTCGCCCCACACAGTCAAACTGTCACCTACACTGTCGCCCCACACAGTCCAACTGTCACCACACAGTCCAACTGTCACCACACAGTCCAACTGTCCCCACACTGTCCAACTGTCACCACACAGTCCAACTGTCACCACACAGTCCAACTGTCCCCACACTGTCCAACTGTCACCACACAGTCCAGCTATCCCCACACTGTCCAACTGTCCCCACACTGTCCAACTGTCACCACACAGTCCAACTGTCCCCACACTGTCCAACTGTCCCCCACAGAGTCCATCTGTCCCCACACTGTCCAACTGTCACCACACTGTCCAACTGTCCCCACACTGTCCAACTGTCCCCCACACAGTCCATCTGTCTCCACACTGTCCAACTGTCACCACACAGTCCAACTGTCCCCACACTGTCCAACTGTCCCCCACACAGTCCATCTGTCCCCACACTGTGGCCCCACACAGTCCATCTGTCCCCACACTGTCCAACTGTCACCACACAGTCCATCTGTCCCCACACTGTCCAACTGTCACCACACAGTCCAACTGTCCCCACACTGTCCAACTGTCCCCCACACAGTCCATCTGTCCCCACACTGTCCAACTGACACCAACACAGTCCAAATTTCCCCACACTGTCCAACTGTCACCACACAGTCCAGCTATCCCCGCACTGTCCAACTGTCTCCCACACTGTCGCCCCACACAGTCAAACTGTCTCCCACACTGTCGCCCCACACAGTCTCACTGTCTCCCAAACAGTCGCCCACACTGTCCAACTGTCCCCACACTGTCCAACTGTCCCCACACAGTCCTACTGTCCCCCACACACTCCAACAGTCTCCCACACTGTCGCCCAACACAGTCCAACTGTCACCTACACTGTCGCCCCACACAGTCCAACTGTCACCACACAGTCCAACTGTCACCACACAGTCCAACTGTCCCCACACTGTGGCCCCACACAGTCCAACTGTCACCACACAGTCCAACTGTCACCACACAGTCCAACTGTCCCCACACTGTCCAACTGTCACCACACAGTCCAACTGTCACCACACAGTCCAACTGTCTCCCACACTGTCGCCCCACACAGTCAAACTGTCACCTACACTGTCGCCCCACACAGTCCAACTGTCACCACACAGTCCAACTGTCACCACACAGTCCAACTGTCCCCAAACTGTCCAACTGTCACCACACAGTCCAACTGTCACCACACAGTCCAACTGTCCCCACACTGTCCAAATGTCCCCACACAGTCAAACTGTCACCACAGTCCAACTGTCACCACACAGTCCAACTGTCCCCACACTGTCCAACTGTCACCACACAGTCCAACTGTCACCACACAGTCCAACTGTCTCCCACACTGTCGCCCCACACAGTCAAACTGTCACCTACAATGTCGCCCCACACAGTCCAACTGTCACCACACAGTCCAACTGTCACCACACAGTCCAACTGTCCCCACACTGTCCAACTGTCACCACACAGTCCAACTGTCCCCACACTGTCCAACTGTCCCGACACAGTCCAACTGTCCCCACACAGTCCAACTGTCCCTACAGTCCAACTGTCACCACACAGTCCAACTGTCCCCACACTGTCCAACTGTCCCGACACAGTCCAACTGTCCCTACAGTCCAACTGTCACCACACTGTCCAACTGTCCCGACACAGTCCAACTGTCCCCACACTGTCCAACTGTCCCGACACAGTCCAACTGTCCCCACACAGTCCAACTGTTCCCACACTGTCCAACTGTCCCTACAGTCCAACTGTCACCACACTGTCCAACTGTCCCCACACTGTGCAACTGTCCCTACAGTCCAACTGTCCCGACACAGTCCAACTGTCCCCACACAGTCCAACTGTCCCGACACAGTCCAACTGTCTCCCACACAGTCCAACTGTCCCCACACTGTCCAACTGTCCCCACACAGTCCAACTGCCCCTACAGTCCAACTGTCACCACACAGTCCAACTGTCCCCACACAGTTTCACAGTTCACTGTCTCCCACACTGTTGCCTAACACAGTCCAATTGTCTCCCACACAGTCCAACTGTCCCCACACAGTTTCACAGTTCACTGTCTCCCACACTGTTGCCTAACACAGTCCAATTGTCTCCCACGCAGTCCAACTGTCCCCCACACAGTTTCACAGTTCACTGTCTCCCACACTGTTGCCTAACACAGTCCAACTGTCCCCCAACAGTCTACTTGTCCCTACACAGTCCAACTGTCCCCACCCAGTCCAACTGTCCCGACACTGTCCAACTGTCCCCCACACAGTTTCACAGTTCACTGTCTCCCACACTGTTTCCAAACACAGTGCAATTGTCTCCCACACAGTCCAACTGTCCCCCACACTGTCCAACTGTCCCAACTCAGTCCAACTGTCACCTACACTGCCGCCTACCACTGTCCAACTGTCACCTACACTGCCTCCTAACACTGTCCAACTGTCCCCCCCACACTCCAACTGTCTCCCACACTGTCGCCCCACACAGTCCAACTGTCACCTACACTGCCGCCTACCACTGTCCAACTGTCTCCCACACTGTCGCCCCACACACTCCAACTGTCTCCCACACTGTCGCCCCACACAGTCCAACTGTCTCCCACACTGTCGCCCCACACAATCCAACTGTCTCCCACACTGTCGCCCCACACACTCCAACTGTCTCCCACACTGTCGCCCCACACAGTCCAACTGTCTCCCACACTGTCCAACTGTCTCCCACACAGTCGCACCACACACTCCAACTGTCTCCCACACAGTCGCACCACACACTCCAACTGTCTCTCACACAGTCGCACCACACACTCCAACTGTCTCCCACACTGTCGCCCCACACAGTCCAACTGTCTCCCACACTGTCGCCCCACACAGTCCAACTGTCTCCCACACAGTCGCCCCACACAGTCCAACTGTCTCCCACACAGTCGCCCCACACAGTCAAACTGTCTCCCACACAGTCGCCCCACACAGTCCAACTGTCTCCCACACAGTCGCCCCACACAGTCAAACTGTCTCCCACACAGTCGCCCCACACACTCCAACTATCTCCCACACAGTCGCCCCACACACTCCAACTGTCTCCCACACAGTCGCCCCACACAGTCCAACTGTCTCCCACAGTCGCCCCACACACTCCAACTGTCTCCCACACAGTCGCCCCACACACTCCAACTGTCTCCCACACTGTCGCCCCACACAGTCCAACTGTCTCCCACACAGTCGCCCCACACACTCCAACTGTCTCCCACACAGTCGCCCCACACACTCCAACTGTCTCCCACACAGTCGCCCCACACACTCCAACTGTCTCCCACAGTCGCCCCACACACTCCAACTGTCTCCCACACAGTCGACCTACACACTCCAAACGTCGCCTACACTGTCGCCCCACACAGTCCAACTGTCTCCCACAGTCGCCCCACACAGTCCAACTGTCTCCCACACAGTCGCCCTACACACTCCAACTGTCTCCCACACTGTCGCCCCACACAGTCCAACTGTCTCCCACAGTCGCCCCACACAGTCCAACTGTCTCCCACACTGTCGCCCCACACAGTCCAACTGTCTCCCACAGTCGCCCCACACACTCAAACTGTCTCCCACACTGTCGCCCCACACACTCCAACTGTCTCCCACACTGTCGCCCCACACACTCCAACTGTCTCCCACACTGTCGCCCCACACACTCCAACTGTCCCCACACAGTCGCCCCACACACTCCAACTGTCTCCCACACTGTCGCCTCACACACTCCAACTGTCTCCCACACTGTCGCCCCACACACTCCAACTGTCCCCACACAGTCGCCCCACACACTCCATCTGTCTCCCACACAGTCGCCCCACACACTCCAACTGTCTCCCACACTGTCGCCCCACACACTCCAACTGTCTCCCACACTGTCGCCCCACACACTCAAACTGTCTCCCACACAGTCGCCCCACACACTCAAACTGTCTCCCACACTGTCGCCCCACACACTCCAACTGTCTCCCACACAGTCGCCCTACACAGTCAAACTGTCTCCCACACAGTCGCCCCACACAGTCCAACTGTCTCCCACACTGTCGCCCCACACACTCCAACTGTCTCCCACGCAGTCCAACTGTCACCCACACAGTTTCACAGTTCACTGTCTCCCACACTGTTGCCTAACACAGTCCAACTGTCCCCCAACAGTCTACTTGTCCCTACACAGTCCAACTGTCCCCACCCAGTCCAACTGTCCCGACACTGTCCAACTGTCCCCCACACAGTTTCACAGTTCACTGTCTCCCACACTGTTTCCAAACACAGTGCAATTGTCTCCCACACAGTCCAACTGTCCCCCACACTGTCCAACTGTCCCAACTCAGTCCAACTGTCACCTACACTGCCGCCTACCACTGTCCAACTGTCACCTACACTGCCTCCTAACACTGTCCAACTGTCCCCCCCACACTCCAACTGTCTCCCACACTGTCGCCCCACACAGTCCAACTGTCACCTACACTGCCGCCTACCACTGTCCAACTGTCTCCCACACTGTCGCCCCACACACTCCAACTGTCACCTACACTGCCGCCTACCACTGTCCAACTGTCTCCCACACTGTCGCCCCACACACTCCAACTGTCTCCCACACTGTCGCCCCACACAGTCCAACTGTCTCCCACACTGTCGCCCCACACAGTCCAACTGTCTCCCACACTGTCGCCCCACACAATCCAACTGTCTCCCACACTGTCGCCCCACACACTCCAACTGTCTCCCACACTGTCGCCCCACACAGTCCAACTGTCTCCCACACTGTCCAACTGTCTCCCACACAGTCGCACCACACACTCCAACTGTCTCCCACACAGTCGCACCACACACTCCAACTGTCTCTCACACAGTCGCACCACACACTCCAACTGTCTCCCACACTGTCGCCCCACACAGTCCAACTGTCTCCCACACTGTCGCCCCACACAGTCCAACTGTCTCCCACACAGTCGCCCCACACAGTCAAACTGTCTCCCACACAGTCGCCCCACACAGTCAAACTGTCTCCCACACAGTCGCCCCACACAGTCCAACTGTCTCCCACACAGTCGCCCCACACAGTCAAACTGTCTCCCACACAGTCGCCCCACACACTCCAACTATCTCCCACACAGTCGCCCCACACACTCCAACTGTCTCCCACACAGTCGCCCCACACAGTCCAACTGTCTCCCACAGTCGCCCCACACACTCCAACTGTCTCCCACACAGTCGCCCCACACACTCCAACTGTCTCCCACACTGTCGCCCCACACAGTCCAACTGTCTCCCACACAGTCGCCCCACACACTCCAACTGTCTCCCACACAGTCGCCCCACACACTCCAACTGTCTCCCACACAGTCGCCCCACACACTCCAACTGTCTCCCACAGTCGCCCCACACACTCCAACTGTCTCCCACACAGTCGACCTACACACTCCAACTGTCGCCTACACTGTCGCCCCACACAGTCCAACTGTCTCCCACAGTCGCCCCACACAGTCCAACTGTCTCCCACACAGTCGCCCTACACACTCCAACTGTCTCCCACACTGTCGCCCCACACAGTCCAACTGTCTCCCACAGTCGCCCCACACAGTCCAACTGTCTCCCACACTGTCGCCCCACACAGTCCAACTGTCTCCCACAGTCGCCCCACACACTCAAACTGTCTCCCACACTGTCGCCCCACACACTCCAACTGTCTCCCACACTGTCGCCCCACACACTCCAACTGTCTCCCACACTGTCGCCCCACACACTCCAACTGTCCCCACACAGTCGCCCCACACACTCCAACTGTCTCCCACACTGTCGCCTCACACACTCCAACTGTCTCCCACACTGTCGCCCCACACACTCCAACTGTCCCCACACAGTCGCCCCACACACTCCATCTGTCTCCCACACAGTCGCCCCACACACTCCAACTGTCTCCCACACTGTCGCCCCACACACTCCAACTGTCTCCCACACTGTCGCCCCACACACTCAAACTGTCTCCCACACAGTCGCCCCACACACTCAAACTGTCTCCCACACTGTCGCCCCACACACTCCAACTGTCTCCCACACAGTCGCCCTACACAGTCAAACTGTCTCCCACACAGTCGCCCCACACAGTCCAACTGTCTCCCACACTGTCGCCCCACACACTCCAACTGTCTCCCACACAGTCGCACCACACACTCCAACTGTCTCCCACACTGTCGCCCCACACACTCCAACTGTCTCCCACACAGTCGCCCCACACAGTCCAACTGTCTCCCACACAGTCGCCCCACACACTCCAACTGTCTCCCACACAGTCGCCCCACACACTCCAACTGTCTCCCACACAGTCGCCCCACACAGTCCAACTGTCTCCCACAGTCGCCCCACACAGTCCAACTGTCTCCCACAGTCGCCCCACACAGTCCAACTGTCTCCCACACAGTCGCCCCACACAGTCCAACTGTCTCCCACACTGTCGCCCCACACACTCCAACTGTCTCCCACAGTCGCCCCACACAGTCCAACTGTCTCCCACACTGTCGCCCCACACACTCCAACTGTCTCCCACAGTCGCCCCACACACTCCAACTGTCTCCCACACTGTCGCCCCACACACTGCAACTGTCTCCCACACAGTCGCCCCACACACTCCAACTGTCTCCCACAGTCGCCCCACACAGTCCAACTGTCCCCACACAGTCGCCCCACACGCTCCAACTGTCTCCCACACAGTCGCCCCACACAGTCAAACTGTCTCCCACACAGTCGCCCCACACACTCCAACTGTCTCCCACACTGTCGCCCCACACAGTCAAACTGTCTCCCACACAGTCGCCCCACACACTCCAACTGTCTCCCACACAGTCGCCCCACACAGTCAAACTGTCTCCCACACAGTCGCCCCACACAGTCAAACTGTCTCCCACACTGTCGCCCCACACACTCCAACTGTCGCCTACACTGTCGCCCCACACAGTCAAACTGTCTCCCACACAGTCGCCCCACACAGTCCAACTGTCTCCCACACAGTCGCCCCACACACTCCAACTGTCTCCCACACTGTCGCCCCACACAGTCCAACTGTCCCCTACACTGTCGCCCCACACAATCCAACTGTCCCCACACTGTCGCCCCACACAGTCCAACTGTCTCCCACACAGTCGCCCCACACAGTCCAACTGTCTCCCACACTGTCGCCCCACACACTCCAACTGTCTCCCACACAGTCGCCCCACACAGTCCAACTGTCTCCCACACAGTCGCCCCACACACTCCAACTGTCTCCCACACTGTCGCCCCACACACTCCAACTGTCTCCCACACAGTCGCCCCACACACTCCAACTGTCTCCCACACAGTCGCCCCACACAGTCCAACTGTCTCCCACACAGTCGCCCTACACAGTCAAACTGTCTCCCACACAGTCGCCCCACACAGTCCAACTGTCTCCCACACTGTCGCCCCACACACTCCAACTGTCTCCCACACAGTCGCACCACACACTCCAACTGTCTCCCACACTGTCGCCCCACACACTCCAACTGTCTCCCACACAGTCGCCCCACACAGTCCAACTGTCTCCCACATTGTCGCCCCACACACTCCAACTGTCTCCCACACAGTCGCCCCACACACTCCAACTGTCTCCCACACAGTCGCCCCACACAGTCCAACTGTCTCCCACAGTCGCCCCACACAGTCCAACTGTCTCCCACAGTCGCCCCACACAGTCCAACTGTCTCCCACACAGTCGCCCCACACAGTCCAACTGTCTCCCACACTGTCGCCCCACACACTCCAACTGTCTCCCACAGTCGCCCCACACAGTCCAACTGTCTCCCACACTGTCGTCCCACACACTCCAACTGTCTCCCACAGTCGCCCCACACAGTCAAACTGTCTCCCACACAGTCGCCCCACACACTGCAACTGTCTCCCACACAGTCGCCCCACACACTCCAACTGTCTCCCACAGTCGCCCCACACAGTCCAACTGTCCCCACACAGTCGCCCCACACACTCCAACTGTCTCCCACACAGTCGCCCCACACAGTCAAACTGTCTCCCACACAGTCGCCCCACACACTCCAACTGTCTCCCACACTGTCGCCCCACACAGTCAAACTGTCTCCCACACAGTCGCCCCACACACTCCAACTGTCTCCCACACAGTCGCCCCACACAGTCAAACTGTCTCCCACACAGTCGCCCCACACAGTCAAACTGTCTCCCACACTGTCGCCCCACACACTCCAACTGTCGCCTACACTGTCGCCCCACACAGTCAAACTGTCTCCCACACAGTCGCCCCACACAGTCCAACTGTCTCCCACACAGTCGCCCCACACACTCCAACTGTCTCCCACACTGTCGCCCCACACAGTCCAACTGTCCCCTACACTGTCGCCCCACACAATCCAACTGTCCCCACACTGTCGCCCCACACAGTCCAACTGTCTCCCACACTGTCGCCCCACACAGTCCAACTGTCTCCCACACTGTCGCCCCACACACTCCAACTGTCTCCCACACAGTCGCCCCACACAGTCCAACTGTCTCCCACACAGTCGCCCCACACACTCCAACTGTCTCCCACACTGTCGCCCCACACACTCCAACTGTCTCCCACACAGTCGCCCCACACACTCCAACTGTCTCCCACACAGTCGCCCCACACAGTCCAACTGTCGCCTACACTGTCGCCCCACACAGTCCAACTGTCCCCACACTCTCGCCCCACACAGTCCAACTGTCCCTCACACAGTCTCACTGTCACCCACACAACATGATGTCACAACACACCTTGATCTGCTTGTATCAGAGACGACCTGGCATTATGTACAGTTTCACCCAACGTATAACACAACATACAGTGTCTGCTATCTCATCTCAAACTATTTACTCGCAGTCATCTGCGTTGCAAACCTAAATGTTTTATCTTGAGATTATCTGAGAAGAGTTCTTCGATATTGATGAAAAACCTCGTTCCGTCGCTGTCTCTGTTTTGTAGGATTCCGCCCGAAACAGTGAAGGCTAATGTAATTACCGGGTGCTGTTTGCCGCGGCTTCACCTTCAGGTCCGTGTTGAATTAAAAGCGACATGCAATCAGTCCCAAGAGCCAGCGCTTCGAGGTGATCACGTGACTTTATTTACGGTTTATCACGAAACTATTTTCCCCAAGCAAACACCGCGTCAATTTTCGGGGCTCCATATGGATCGAGAGCCACCATTTCATTGTTCATTTTGCTCTAATGCACATCATTGTGGCCATTACAGTGAAAGGAGACAGAAGGTGTCGGCAGACCGATAATTACCGCTCGCCAGCTGTATGGCTAACGGTAGCATCAGTGACGCTCACCCACGCCGCTGATCCACCTCGTCCCTTCATCGTGGCCAGCGCGCGCACGGCACCAGGAGACTGTTCCATCGGACCCATGTAGACAGGTGTTAAAACACGTTAGGTGTTAAATCAAGTTTGTTTATGTCACATGTTCTTTCAATGGAGCTGGGGACTACCTACCTGTTAAATGACACAGTGAAGACAATGTAGTACCACCACTCGGCGTCGTGTCACCTGTCACCATAGCAACCTGACTCGGGCCTCTAATTATATACCTGTTATATGTGTTACCATGGTGATGTCCACTACTGTAGACTTCTGCTCTGTACTTCTACTAACAATGATAACAGAGTTTAAGAAGCGAGGGAGTGTTTACCATCCGTGATCTCTCGCCCAGAGTGGTAGTCTCCTCGCCGTGCAGATCGGCAGCGCTGTGGCCCCTTGGACATCTCTCGCCCATTAGACCATGGGAACATGACGCTGTAGGAAGTCCTATGTGTTCCAGGAGAAGCCAGATAACATGAACTACAGCAACGTCTTAAAGAAACGTTCGTATTACGTGGACCAGTAGTGATTCATAAGCACATAGCACAGTGTGGAGTGATTTCTCAGCCGTACTACCATGGGGAGCGCTGCCAGCAACATCACCCCGCCTCCGTCCCCAACTAGCCGTGATCACATCCCTCAGCAAGGTAAGACTACACATTGTCGGGGATCACATCACTCAGCAAGGTAAGACTACACATTGTCAGGGATCACATCACTCAGCAAGGTAAGACTACACACATTGTCAGGGATCACATCACTCAGCAAGGTAAGACTACAGATTGTGAGGGATCACATCACTCAGCAAGGTAAGACTACACATTGTCAGGGATCACATCACTCAGCAGGGTAAGACTACACATTGTCAGGGATCACATCACTCAGCAGGGTAAGACTACACATTGTCAGGGATCACATCACTCAGCAAGGTAAGACTACACATTGTCAGGGATCACATCACTCAGCAAGGTAAGACTACACACATTGTCAGGGATCACATCACTCAGCAAGGTAAGACTACACATTGTCAGGGATCACATCACTCAGCAAGGTAAGACTACACATTGTCAGGGATCACATCACTCAGCAGGGTAAGACTACACATTGTCAGGGATCACATCACTCAGCAGGGTAAGACTACACATTGTCAGGGATCACATCACTCAGCAAGGTAAGACTACACATTGTCAGGGATCACATCACTCAGCAGGGTAAGACCACACACATTGTCAGGGATCACATCACTCAGCAAGGTAAGACTACACATTGTCAGGGATCACATCACTCAGCAGGGTAAGACTACACATTGTCAGGGATCACATCACTCAGCAAGGTAAGACTACACATTGTCAGGGATCACATCCCTCAGCTAGGTAAGACTACACATTGTCAGGGATCACATCACTCAGCAAGGTAAGACTACACATTGTCAGGGATCACATCACTCAGCAAGGTAAGACTACACATTGTCAGGGATCACATCACTCAGCAAGGTAAGACTACACATTGTCAGGGATCACATCACTCAGCAAGGTAAGACTACACATTGTCAGGGATCACATCACTCAGCAGGGTAAGACCACACACATTGTCAGGGATCACATCACTCAGCAAGGTAAGACTACACATTGTCAGGGATCACATCACTCAGCAGGGTAAGACTACACATTGTCAGGGATCACATCACTCAGCAAGGTAAGACTACACATTGTCAGGGATCACATTCCTCAGCAAGGTAAGACTACACATTGTCAGGGATCACATCACTCAGCAAGGTAAGACTACACATTGTCAGGGATCACATCACTCAGCAAGGTAAGACTACACATTGTCAGGGATCACATCACTCAGCAAGGTAAGACTACACATTGTCAGGGATCAAATCACTCAGCAAGGTAAGACTACACATTGTCAGGGATCACATCACTCAGCAGGGTAAGACTACACATTGTCAGGGATCACATCACTCAGCAAGGTAAGACTACACATTGTCAGGGATCACATCACTCAGCAAGGTAAGACTACACATTGTCAGGGATCACATCACTCAGCAAGGTAAGACTACACACATTGTCAGGGATCACATCCCTCAGCAAGGTAAGACTACACATTGTCGGGGATCACATCACTCAGCTAGGTAAGACTACACACATTGTCAGGGATCACATCACTCAGCAAGGTAAGACTACACATTGTCAGGGATCACATCACTCAGCAGGGTAAGACTACACATTGTCAGGGATCACATCACTCAGCAAGGTAAGACCACGCACATTGTCAGGGATCACATCACTCAGCAGGGTAAGACTACACATTGTCAGGGATCACCAGGGTTCGCCTGTGCTGGAGTCACCCACTCCACCCCGCCCTAGCATTTAATGGTCAACATAGGTTCACCACCATATAATCCACTATGAAGTCAACTCTTTAATCCTTTTCCGTCGACACTGTAACCATTGTCCCAGTACCATGTAATCAACTCTTTAACCCTGTTCCGTCGACACTGTAACCATTGTCCCAGTACCATGTTATCAACTCTTTAACCCTTTTCCGTCGACACTGTAACCATTGTCCCAGTACCATGTAATCAACTCTTTAACCCTTTTCCGTCGACACTGTAACCATTGCCCCAGTACCATGTAATCAACTCTTTAACCCTTTTCCGTCGACACTGTAACCATTGTCCCAGTACCATGTTATCAACTCTTTAACTATTTTCCGTCGACATTGTAACCATTGTCCCAGTACCATGTTATCAACTCTTTAATCCTTTTTCGTCGACACTGTAACCATTGTCCCAGTACCATGTTACCAACTCTTTAACCCTTTTCCGTCGACACTGTAACCATTGTCCCAATACCATGTTATCAACTCTTTAACCCTTTTCCGTCGACATTGTAACCATTGTCCCAGTACCATGTAATCAACTCTTTAATCCTTTTCCGTCGACATTATAACCATTGTCCCAGTACCATGTAATCAACTCTTTAACCCTTTTCCGTCAACACTGTAACCATTGTCCGAGTACCATGTAATCAACTCTTTAACCCTTTTCCGTCGACACTGTAACCATTGTCCCAGTACCATGTTATCAACTCTTTAACCCTTTTCCGTCGACATTGTAACCATTGTCCCAGTACCATGTTATCAACTCTTTAACCCTTTTCCGTCGACACTGTAACCATTGTCCGAGTACCATGTAATCAACTCTTTAACCCTTTTCCGTCGACACTGTAACCATTGTCCCAGTACCATGTAATCAACTCTTTAACCCTTTTCCGTCGACACTGTAACCATTGTCCCAGTACCATGTAATCAAATCTTTAACTTTTTTCCGTCGACACTGTAACCATTGTCCTAGCTGTTCGAATCCCGGTTCGCCCTGATGATGTTTCTTGGTGTGTACATATCCGTTTTTCACCGAAGTGGTTAACGTCTGAGACCTGCATCACTTCGGGATATCCTCCCGCATTAAGCTGACACGCCGTGATGTAACTGGAATACTGTTAACAGCAGTGTTAAACCCAACTCACTCACTGACTTTACATTTATAACATTATATCATTAGTCTTAGTACTATGTAATCAATCCGATCACTCCTTTCCGTCAACACCAACCATTGTCTGTATATCAGGTAATCCTGTAACCCTATTTGTTAAACACTTTCCGCCTCTACTATGAACACAGAGCATGACCTTCATCCATAGTTGGATATATCCCCTCTATAGCCCACCCAGATATTGTCAATACGCCATCTTCCCGTCTAGTTCCACCCCACCTAGATATTGTCAATACGCCATCTTCCCGTCAAGTTCCATCCCACCCAGATATTGTCAATACGCCATCTTCCCGTCTAGTTCCACCCCACCTAGATATTGTCAATATACTATCTTCCCGTCTAGTTCCATCCCACCCAGATATTGTCAATATACCATCTTCCCGTCTAGTTCCAGCCCACCCAGATATTGTCAATATGCCATCTTCCCGTCTAGTTCCAGCCCACCCAGATATTGTCAATATACCATCTTCCCGTCTAGTTCCAGCCCACCCAGATATTGTCAATATACCATCTTCCCGTCTAGTTCCATCCCACCCAGATATTGTCAATATACAATCTTCCTGTCTAATTCCAACTCACCTAGATATTGTCAATATACCATCTTCCAGTCTAGTTCCAACTCACTTAGATATTGTCAATATACCATCTTCCTGTCTAGTTCCAACTAACCTAGATATTGTCAATATACAATCTTCCAGTCTAGTTCCAACTCACCTAGATATTGTCAATATACCATCTTCCTGTCTAGTTCCAACTCACCTAGATATTGTCAATATACCATCTTCCCGTCTAGTTCACCGTCATACCCCTACAGGATGTAGTCAATATACAATCTTCCAGTCTGGTTCCACCCCGCCTAGATATTGTCAATATACCATCTTCCCGTCTAGTTCCAACTCACCTAGATATTGTCAATATACCATCTTCCCGTCTAGTTCCAACTCACCTAGATATTGTCAATATACCATCTTCCCGTCTAGTTCCATCCCACCCAGATATTGTCAATATACAATCTTCCTGTCTAATTCCAACTCACCTAGATATTGTCAATATACCATCTTCCAGTCTAGTTCCAACTCACTTAGATATTGTCAATATACCATCTTCCTGTCTAGTTCCAACTAACCTAGATATTGTCAATATACAATCTTCCAGTCTAGTTCACCGTCATACCCCACCAGGATGTAGTCAATATACAATCTTCCAGTCTGGTTCCACCCCGCCTAGATATTGTCAATATACCATCTTCCAGTCTGGTTCCACCCCGCCTAGATATTGTCAATATACCATCTTCCAGTCTAGTTCCAGCCCACCTAGATATTGTCAATATACCACATTACCCGCCTAGTTCCACCCCGCCTAGATATTGTCAATATACAACGTTACCCGCCTAGTTCCCACCCTGGATATCGGCGACACCGCTGCTGATGAGAGAGTCTGCAATTATTTATACCATTGCTTTGATTGACATTGTTCCGTGCCGGCATTGACACTTCCTTCCGCTGTCCTTGGTGTAAGCAGCATGTTCTTATCTTGTTGATTGCAATGTCAACACAACGGGTAGTAGACGCGGTCCGGTGTGGACCCGCTACCCGTACAACCGAGCTGTCATGGCTTCCACACCCGAGACGCGTTGTCTACACAGCAGGAATATGACATATTGACAGTTATATTCATGTCGGTTCATAATGCTTGTTCAGCAGTAGCCCCGTTCTGTATTCAATAATAAGCTTCATACAGCGAGGTCCATGGCCGGTGAAATGACCAACTCACAATCGATACACCATCATCACCTTTGTTTCAGCCTACGGCGATATCGGGAATGGACAAGACCATGTGATGAAGTCACGTGACCAGGTTGCCCCGATTGTCATCAAGGACTGCCGTGAGGAGTTCCAGCGGTTGTCAAAGTTCAAGGACCCGATTGTGAAGGGGAGGATGGCTGAGGGCCTGCCGCTGCACCCGCTCATCAAGGTACACCCACGTCGTGCGGACGTTACGTTGCCTAATAAAGATGGCCACACGTATATGGTATAACAGCTGAAATGGAGAACTGATGGATAGATAAAAGAACTTAGGTGTAAACATCAAGGGCAGAACCAGCATTTTTAAAGGGAGGGGCGGGGGCAGGGAGGGAGGGGGGTTGTGGAGTAGGTCGGGGCACCCCCACCCTCTCTGGATCCACGTAGGGACATTAACAGATCTAGTGTCGTGTATTCGTTAAGGTTTGTTTTGTTTTGGTAGATAGCTATGTCAGTGGTGTGGGAACAGTGTAGATATAGATGGTTAGTTGTCTCAAAGATTGTCTTGGTAGATGGACGGTTCCCCTAAAGATTAGTGGTTGTTGGAACTACAGTTGGATGGCATGGCTAGAGGGATGGTTGTGTGTTGTGTTGGTAGATAGAGGGAAGTTGTTGGATGGAAGATAGAGAGTTGTGTGTTGTGTTCGTAGACATAGGGAGGTTGTTGGATGGAAGATAGAGAGTTGTGTGTTGTGTTCGTAGACATAGGGAGGTTGTTGGATGGAAGATAGAGAGTTGTGTGTTGTGTTCGTAGACATAGGGAGGTTGTTGGATGGAAGATAGAGAGTTGTGTGTTGTGTTCGTAGACATAGAGAGGTTGTTGGATGGAAGATAGAGAGTTGTGTGTTGTGTTCGTAGACATAGGGAGGTTGTTGGATGGAAGATAGAGAGTTGTGTGTTGTGTTCGTAGACATAGGGAGGTTGTTGAATGGAAGATAGAGAGTTGTGTGTTGTGTTCGTAGACATAGGGAGGTTGTTGGGTGGAAGATAGAGAGTTGTGTGTTGTGTTCGTAGACATAGGGAGGTTGTTGGATGGAAGATAGAGAGTTGTGTGTTGTGTTCGTAGACATAGGGAGGTTGTTGGATGGAAGATAGAGAGTTGTGTGTTGTGTTGGTAGATAGAGGGAGGTTGTTGGGTGGAAGATAGAGGGAGGTTGTTGGTTGGTAGATAGAGGGAAGTTGTTGGATGGAAGAGAGACGGACGGTTGTTGGATGGAATATGGAGGGTTGTGTGTTGTGTTGGTAGATAGAGGGAGGTTGTTAGATGGTAGATAGGTGGAGGTTTTGGGATCGAAGATAGTGAGTTGTGTGTTGTGTTGGTAGATAGAGGGAGGTTGTTGGTTGGTAGATAGAGGGAGGTTGTTGGTTCGAAGAGAGACGGACGGTTGTTGGATGGAATATGGAGGGTTGTGTGTTGTGTTGGTAGATAGAGGGAGGTTGTTAGATGGTAGATAGGTGGAGGTTTTGGGATGGAAGATAGTGAGTTGTGTGTTGTGTTGGTAGATAGAGGGAGGCTGTTGGATGGAAGATGGAGGGTTGTGTGTTGTGTTGGTAGATAGAGGGAGGTTGTTGGATGGGAGATGGAGGGTTGTGTGTTGTGGTGGTAGATAGAGGGAGGCTGTTGGATGGATGGGTCAATGGATGGACAGACAGACAGACCGTGCAGGCTAGGAGTGGTCAGTAGCTTCTGCCCTGTGTGCGCTACAGATGATTACTGTGTTACCATGGAAATTGCATCGTAGTGTAAAGTGAGTGCCACTGATGATTGTTTCTGGGAGTTGTTGGAAGATGTCGATGGATTCATCCTTGCCATGTTTCTATCAGCGGCTGCTATTGTAATGAGATAGTTTCAGAATCACAGGGGAAACCTGAAACATCACCTGATATTTTCATTAAGCGATATTTTATAGAATTAGGGCATGCTATGTGAGATACGTGGAATCAGTTAAATGGTGTCTTTTTCCGGAAAATGTTGAATTAATACAATTTGGGGATAGAAGTTTATCGGTGGAAATCCCAGAACGTGGTCTTCCCGAGGGATGATCCTATCTTAAATTAATCCCAGCCATCACTTGGCTACACACACCAGTGTTCTAGCCGAGTCCTGATCAGAACGGCACTCTGTGTAAATATGCGCGCTGGGGTACACCGATTTCCTCTTACTACCAAATGGAAGCCAGCTTCAGAAGCCCGGAAGCCAGAGAGAGGGAAGCACGGGACAACGGGGACTTCATTGACGGACGCATTGAACAAACATCCCCTCGGACTGTAGCCACAGTGGACTGCATTCCACCTCATACTTAACATTGTATTTCGTTGACGGGGCAGACTCGCATTCAAAATCAACATCCACTTTGATTGAGAGCATTATCAATTTACAGATCCAACATGAAACATTCAGATAAGATCAAATAGAAATGAATCCCTTTTGCAAATATTTGACGCTGGTTAATAGTGTTAGACACGGCAACAGTGAAACATGTGAAAGAAAATAGAATTTAGACTACTTTCAAAACACAGAGCGTAAGGGACTGATTTATGCTTGCAATTACTGAATGGGATAATGTGCATTGTTAAATGTAAGATGCGTCATAAGACTGGAAACACAAGCGTAAACCTTAATTCTACTTTGCGTAATTGACAACCTGCTGAGTCTGAATTGGAATTTAACCTAGGGTTTGATGACTAACAACACCTCACTGCAAGAGTGCCCTTGAACCCGCGACCACGCGTATAAAAACCTACATGAAATAGGCTTGATTAAGTCATTTAAGCTCGAGCGTTCTTCCCGTGAGCACGTAAATACAGACCACCGTAATACAATTTGGTCATCTCTGTACAGGAACCCTAAACATATTAGGCTGTAACCCACTGTGACGGCCGTCGTCAATACGGTGTTCTCTGGCTCGAACTTGATGGTGGGGAGTGGGGGGCGGGGGACACGGGGCCGTGGTAAACCTCATCACTGCACTTTACGTCAAGACACCATCAGTAAGTGGCCGTTGTCTACAGTCGCCGTCTTCCTCTTGCATATTCAGGCACGACCACCTGCCGCAAAGAAGACAAACGAGGCATCAATTAGAACCTATTGAATATTGGGTGTAAAAATAGGTTTAAATCTCCAGCCGAAACCAGTTCACGTAAGCGGGGACGTGGACACCTTGATGGGGATGCAGTTCCTCCACGCGGAGGTGTCACTTTGCATACAACGATCTCTTGATTCAAAGCGGTTGTTTCAAAGGTTTTTTACGCCATTTACAGATATGTTTGCGAGTGTGGTTGGTTATACTGACACAAAGAGAAAAGTTGTTTTTTTACCAATTTTCAGTGCGTGTTCCATTATGATTCAACTTATACCCGTACACCTGACATCTGAAATATAAGAATAATGTTTGATGCTGCAGGTTTTTTTAAGTTGAAAAATGCTTATAATTTTCAATTGCGATGTATGTTAATATATGGGAGTAGTCAGGTCCGATCTCATAAAACACATTTTGAAAATACGTGCGAACGTTTGACACCCCCTCTAAGTGTTACGTTAACTAAATCAGGTCTGTGTGAGGGCCCCGCCAGACCCGGTCTAATTCCATCATTTCCGACAGCGGATACCTTCGAAAATTGGACAAAGGTCACTTCCTGTTTGGTACATGGTACACGATAACGCATTAAATTACAGAAAACCGCATCTTGATAGTATTTTTATAACAGTCTCCGAAAATCTGGATTTTTAAAGTCACTCCGTTAGAATACTGCACGAACTATGTCTAATCGTAAATTAAACTAAATGCGGTATGTGCGTGCTTAAATAGATTCTGCTTTGCAGCCGGCACTTCTCCTATTTTCTATGAGGATTAAGCGTTGTTGTCCATGTTGTGTCCCACGGCACCGATGCACTGCTGGCCAAAGGCAGAAGCAAATGTCGTGCTGAGCTGTCTACTAATGTCATGTTGACGACTGAAATAAGTGACTGAAACACCACATTTCGGCTGACATGCGCTGGACGTCAGAAACCCCAGTCTGTCCATGAAGGCTTTGTTTTGTATTAACATGGTGCATCCTTCCACACATCTAGAGGCAGGTGATTAGCGGCGTGCTCAATGTAGCTGCCGCCATTAATAGGGAATGGCTTCTGAAGCAACAGCTTGTCGTTTAACCTGGCACTGACGCCGAGATAAGCCGAGTCCGCATTGACCATGTCATAGATAGACCCCACAAAGCCCAGCCATAGCCGGGCTTTTAGGATCAGGGAGCCATATTGGATTCTATCAGAGAGTATGTGGACAATCTTTATTGCCTCCTCAATCCCATGGGGATGGAAGCTCACTTTAATAACGATTGTTGTTATTTCTTTTAGTGGTGGTTCATTCCCTCGGAAAGAAATCTGAAACCAACAATAATGGCTGTTGTTTTTTTGTCTTAAAGTCCAAGGAAAGGAATCTAAATGTAACAGCTGTTGTGGTACTATCGTTTAATGAGTGTCAAATACTCCGGAAAGCCATTAAAATAGCAACTGTTGTGGTATTTCATTTAGTGAGTCCCAAATCCGCCTGAAAGCCATTAAAATAGCAACTGTTGTGGTACTTTCATTAGATGACTGTCAAATCCGCCTGAAAGCCATTAAAATAGCAACAATTACGGTACTTTCATTAAGTGACTGTCAAGTCCTCTTGAAAGGCATCAAAATAGGAACTTTTGTGGTACTTTCAGTTAGTGAGTGTCAAATCCTCTTGAAAGTCGTTTAAAACAGCAACAATTATGGTAGTTCATTTGGTGAGTGTCAAATCCTCTTGAAAGTCGTTTAAAACAGCAACAATTATGGTAGTTCATTTGGTGAGTGTCAAATCCTCTTGAAAGTCGTTTAAAACAGCAACAATTATGGTAGTTCATTTGGTGAGTGTCAAATCCTCTTGAAAGTCGTTTAAAACAGCAACAATTATGGTAGTTCATTTGGTGAGTGTCAAATCCTCCGAAGGCCATTGAAATACCAACAATTCTCAATGAATCCTCAATTAATCCAAACTATGTGAATGTGTAGCAGTGGCGAGCTTTGAAATTCGGATGAGGCCTGTGTAGTTGCAGCATTTGTTCGCTGGCTATCACGTGTCATGTCACAGAACACGTTACGCCCGTGTATCCGACCCAGGTGTCATGTCACAGAACACGTCACGCCCG